AGAGAGAGAGAGAGAGTCTCCCATCCCCCTGCCACGTTTTTCCAGAGTCCTGGTCTTAATCATTCTCTGCTCTCCAAACCTTCCCAAAGACTCTCCTGCCCTCCCTTCCGGGTCCAACAGAGGCAGCCAGCTCTTGCTAAAAGTCTTGTTAGTTTCCATGATGTTCCTGGCTAGATTTAATATCTAATAGTCCAAGGAAGATCTGTGTGCCTGGAAGGGTGTAATGAATTTACAGAAGATATAAAACATTACACCCAAAGAATAAGTGGTTACAAAATAAGATACATTACTTTATAACTCTTTGAGGGGGGAGAAGGAGAGAGAAAGGAGGGGGGTTCTTCACCTCAGGTGGGAATTCTCAAATACTTAGTCATTAAAAACTTATTAAACCTCAAATATTTGTTATTATATTCAAGTTTTTACAAATTCCCCATATATTAGCTTTCTATTTATAGAACATTAGGAAACATACAGCTTGTGGAAACACTGATGAACCCTTCCCTGTTAGTAGTTACACATAAATACAACATTAAGACACAGATAAACAGTCCACAGCCAGGTGATCCTGCATTCAGCTTAGTGATTGACACTTGCCTGGGCTTAATGCCTGTTTTAGCAGTCTCAAGATTCGGTGAAAAGGTTGCTTTCTTACATTAACAAACTCATTATTGAATCAAAAGGACTAAATAAGTATTAATTATTACTACACTCAGCTATCATAATGAGAAAAACTCTTGATTTCTTGAAATATTAAACAAAGAGGTTTTAATAGTGTAAAGCTATATATAGACTATTTCTTATGCCAGGCCCACAATGCTAACCTGAAGGAGAGACAGATGTCTCTAACTAGGATAAACAAATGCACGGAAACATTTTTAATGGTTTTCAATGCTCTATCATCCCCTTTCCCTCCATCTCTGATCTTCCACACATCTCTGCTGGGGATAAAAGGGAGTGCAAACACTGGACAAAATCAGCTCAGTCTGGAAAGGTGAATCCCCCTTAACCTTTCCCCACAGAGACAGAAGTAAATGTTTCTTTAGGATTACATGTCATTCTTTGGTGTTTTGTTCTGATTTCTTTGTAAACAAATTTCTCATATGTGAGTTTTTAATGTTGTGATCGGGGAGGAGGTGTTGGCCTATACTGCCACAGAATGAGTATAATCTTCTTGAAGTGCTAACAAGGCAACATTCAATTTGATGGGAGTCTAATGTGTGAAAATTTGGTTTCTGAGACGGAAAGAATTTATTTTTCCAGTTTTATTTAGCTAATATTTCTTGGATGGCTTTGTCATTATCTTAACTGATAATGCAAAGCTATTTCATTATATTGAATGATTTGAAATAATGTGACTTTGTTACTTATTCTTTTTCATTTATTTTATAAGAAGCATTATAAAACTGACTCTAAACAAAGCACAGCATACAGCCTGTTATGAAATTGAAGTATGCTTAATTCATGTATTGAAAATCTCTTTCGTTTAAATTGTTATTTAACAGAGCACTCTTATTTGAGCAGACAAATTGTCTTAAAACTATAGATGTGAAGAAAACCTTATTTGAGATAATTTTTAGATTTAAGAGTACAACAGATTAAAATTCTCTTTTTTCCATTCCATGGACCCTTTCAACAATGATATCTTATCAAACACAGACTGGGAGAGCTGACCCTGTAGTGTTTGCAGTCCTATTGTAAGATAAATATTGCAAGATTAGTCCTTTGGAGGTGGCAAGAGCATCAATACTTCTCAGGTTACAGTTACATGGCCACACTGCATCATGTAGCTGACATCATTACTAACAATTAATTTTTTCACAGAACGAATAGTTTCCTGAATAATGGATGCTTTATTAAAATAACCATAAAAATTAAATAATCTGCAATCGGTTCTCATTAATAAGAGTATGTCACCAGGCATGTCCAACCGGTGGCCCTTAGGTTGTGTGCACCCCAGGAGAGCTGTGTATGTGGCTCCGTGCTTTTGTGGATGACAATCAACATTTATGGTACTGTGAAAAGGTGAAATTCCATGATGTAACTTAAACTCCAGTTATTTCATGGTAAATGTTCTCTATCTTAATATAATATGAACTGGTTTACTGAATCCATTCTGAATGGAAAGCACACTCCCCTGAGAGTGGAAGGAGAATAATCTTTGACGTAGGCATCTGCCCTTCATCAGCTGCACAAATGTTTGCAAGCCTCCTGTGACATCCAGAAAACTCAGGCTTGAGAAGGGTTATCCCCTTAATAAGCAATTGACCGAAACAGTCACACATTTATTCAATAAAAAGCATTGTGTCTCTTTGAAACTCATTCTGTGGTAGTAAAATTGATTGCTTTATATTTCCACTCTGTAAATAAATCCACCAAAAACTTGAATGTGAGATCACAGGTTTTAGCTTTCTACTGAAGTGTGGTACTTACTACATAATTAAAAATTCCTGAAAGCCTGGTGGTTGCCTAGAAAGCCACTTCCCTATCATCATGTAATCTAGATACCCAGTCCCCAAATTCAAGGGAGAATTGCTGGCCACCACCGACTTGTATTTCTGTACCATTCTCTCCAAATTTGCCTTTCTGAAATAAAACCTTTGGCCATAACACATTTTTAAGATGCCAAACCTTCCCGAGATCATGCTGAGAAGCAAAGATTTAAACCAGTTCAGTCTGATCAGAACTGATGCTTCTCCAAGCCTCTAAGCTGTCATGCCTAGTAGTTAGCTGTGAAGTCTGTAGTATTGGTTTGAATGAGATTGCCTTTAGGACTGCTAGAATCTAGCACTTATTTATACCCCACATGTTGCATGAAAATGCATAACAAGTTCTATGTTATGTTACCTGTGTTTCAGTTGAGAATGTAGGAGGTAGCTAGCACTTATTTATACCCCACATGTTGCATGAAAATGCATAACAAGTTCTCTGTTACCTGTGTTTCAGTTGAGAATGTAGGAGGTAGACAATTACTAAGAGAAAAGTTAATATACTAAAATGTGACTTCTGTTCAGCTGTTGCATACAGCACGTGGATTTAGGGAGACATAGGAAATGAATACTTTCTTCCATTTTCTAAGCATGTATTTTGAAATGAAGTTAGAAATTCTAGCAATTTTTAATATAGTAAAGGATTATCACAGGGTGCATGGCCTAGTTGGAGCTGAATATTCAAATAACTTTCTAAAATCCAATTCACTTTTTCTCCCTGATAAATCTTGAGAAGATTTTATATGTTTTATGTAACAGTCCAAAAGCAAAGTCCCAGAAAATGATACTTCACATTCTTTAGATTCAGACACATACCAAAATTCAAAATTATTGAAAGAATTGCTAAATGAACCAAGAAATAGTGTTTATCCAAATAAGTGAAAAACGAACTTATATGCTCTCCTCATGAAGTGCTAGGGAGTGCTTCTCATATTAAATTGAACAAATAGAAATTTACAATAAAGAAAATAGTGAAGAGTTGATCTAAAAGCTGATTCTGAAGCTATGATAAATTTCACATTATTGCTAAAAATAATTTAGGTGTAATGATTTTGTAAATGTTTCTAGAAATCTTTTTATCTTTTGGAGATGATATCCCTGAGTCAGTTTTGCTACTCTTGAGGACAGCCAACTTCTATACAGTTATGGTTCTTTATCATTATTCCAGTTATACATGCCACAAAATAGTAATAAAGCTACTTGGGGGGAAATATTACTTTCGGGAAATATCATAAACTTTTGTCTCTCTTGTAGTTCTTTCTTAAAAGCTTGAAAAATCCATTTCTATCTAAAAATTATTTATCTATAATAATGGTGAAAGTTCTGTTACATCACTATTTTTTACGATTTATTTTTAAGTGTTGTGTACGTGTGTGTGCATGTATAACACATGCATTTACAGACATGTAGGTGTCCACAGAGACCAGAGGCACTGAATCCCTTGGTTCTGGGAACGGAACTCAGTATGCACCTGCTGCTAAGCCATCTCATGAGCCCTGTCAGTGTTAGTTTTTATGAAATTAATCATGAGTACATAATAAAAGCAATAAATGCATATTTATTCATTGGATTAATATGTAAGGTCAGCCCAACTAAGTTACAAATAGAGGTGTGTTATATAATTGGGAGACCTCCAGTTGATGCCAAGATTACACCAACAATAGTAAGTAGGATATGTCCCCCCAAATAATCTGTAATAAATAGGTACCACTGAGGCATTGGTCGTATAGCTGCCTTATAGTAGGCATGGCTTTCAAGAGCAACCCCTTGATACATAGCATATCATCCAATATAACCTGAATGTAAAAAGAAAAGAGAGAAATAAAACATTTACAAAAAAAGAAATAAAAATATCTAACGAGCACCAAACTTATCCATTGCTTATATTCAAGATTTCTATTTCCTTATCAATTATTTGCCCATTGGGCTACTCAAATCTGATTTCTTTTCCTATTTCTAATCAAAGAACCATCTGATAA